TAAAAATATTATAACTTTAAAAATTTAAAAAAATTTTTCCCTTTTTCTAATTTTAAAAATCCAGGTGATTTGTCACATCAAGAAAATTCAGCAGGTTTTGTCTGTTGAAGCCTCAGTCATCCTCAGAATCACTGTCTTTCCTCACAGGGACTGAGGACCGCACTGAGACAGTAATGCATCTTCTACTGGTTTCTTGGGGTTTTCCTCCAGGTCTGTCTTGATTGCTCCAGATTCAGACAATTTCCACTCCAACTCATCTCTTGTCAGGTTCATCCCACCAAACACTAGAGGACCAATAAACTGAGCCTTGATATCTCCTTCAAGATAAACAAATATTGTGGGCAGATTCTTATCAGGATAATTGGGTATGCAGGTTGTTGAAATGGCTTTGATAAATTTAACATCAGGAAACTTCCTTGCAAGTCCACTGAAGTGTTGGTTTATTAGGGCACAGAGGGGAATTCCTTGTTTATAAAGGTGCAAAATTACCCACAAGCCTTCACCAGCTTTGGTAACTCCTTGAACGTAATCCTTTCCTGAGATCTCTAAAACTTCTCCAAATTTATTCTTCAGTTTAGTTGCTTTCCACTCAGCCAGTCTTTGTTGCCTGTACATTTCAATAGCACGTTCATCATCCTCATTAAATTCATCTTCATTATCCTCCAGCTCTTCCAAAGTCATATCTTCATACGTTTTCACAATTGACTGTTGAAGGACTCGCTGCTCTTCCTCTTCTGCTTCCTTTTCCAATTCTTCTGAGCTTTCCTTGGAGGGCAAGATGCCCTTTTTGCGTAAGATGTCATTCCACTCAGTGTCTGCATTGGGGTCCTGCATCTTGCTCCGGAAGCTCAAACTTGTCCACCCTCTACTCCCCCTGCTCCTCAGCTCTCTTCGCAAGAATGGCCAGACTTCGGCTCACCTATTTTGGTCACGTTGTAAGAAGGGACCATTCCCTGGAGAAGGATGTCATGCTTGGTAGGGTGGAGGTCAACGAAAGAGGGGGAGGCCTTCAACTAGATGGATTGACACGGTGGCTGCAAAGATGGGCTCAAGTAGAGCAGGGATTGTGGGGCTGGCGCGGGATCGGGCAGTGTTTCGTTCTGCTGTGCATGGGGTCACTATGAGTCAGAAACGACTCGACAGCACTTAACAACAACAACAATATTCTCTTGTTCTCTTCCAGTGACAGCCTCTTGGTCTTTGTATAGGTTCTTTGAGCATCATTAAGTGTTTTGGAATTCCCATTCCTAGCAATATTATCCATAATTTGTTATGATTGACACAGTCAAGTGCTTTTGCATAGTCAATAAAAAAACAGGCAAACATCGTTCTGGTATGCTTTGCTTTCAGCTAATATCCATCTGATATCAGCAATGATATTGCTTGTTCCACAGCCTCTTCTGAATACAGCTTAAATTTCTAGAACTTCCCTGTCAATTTTTAATTTTTTAATTATGTTCAGCAAACTTTTACTTGCTTGTGATATTAATGATATTGTTTGATAATTTCCACATTTTGGTGGATCACCTTTCTTTGGAATGGACACAAATATTGTTCTCTTCTAGGAGGTTGGCCAGGGAGCTTTCTTCCAAATTTCTTGGCATAAACAAGGAAGCACGTCCAGTACAACATCTGTTTCTTTAAATATCTCAATGGATATTCTGTCAATTCCTGAAGCTTGCTTTTTACCAGTTCCTTCAGTTCAGCTTGCACTTTTTGCCTCAGGACCATTGGTTATTGATCATATGCTGCCGCCTGAAATAGCTGGACATCAACCAATTCTTTTTGATACAATGATCCTGTGTATTCTTTCCATCTTCTTTTGATGCTTCTTGCATTGTTCAATATTTTGCCCATACAGTCCTTCAATATTGCAATTTGAGACTTGAATTGTTTCTTCAGTTCTTCCAGCTTGAGAAATGCTGAGCATGTTCTTCCCTTTTGGCTTTCTAACTCCAGTTCTTAGCACATTTCATTTTAATACTTTATATATACATACATACACACAGACAGGAAGTTTTGTGTGTAAATGGGGCCAAAATCAACATTTGAGGAAGGGTGTCTTGGAATTCTTTGTACTGTACTTGGAACTTTAGTGTCGGTTTGAAATTGTGTCAAAATACTTTTAAAATAAAAGAAAAAGGAACTATGATAAGCTGATTTGTGAATCATAAAGTCATTGTATTGTATGAATGTTTGATCAAATGCAACAAATATACCTTTGAACCAGGAAATGATTTCAGAAATATGTTATGTATTTTCAAAATAATTAAGCACAAATGAAGACATTTTCACCAGGAGAAAAGAATATAATGAATTTGAGAGAAAAATACTGCTTAACCTAATGTCAATATTTAAAATAAGTTTTTGTTAAAAAAAAAAAAAAAAAGGAGATCTACCAGAACAGTGGTTAGTCTCTCAGCTGCTAATGAAAACATTGGTGGTTTAAACATACCCACGACTCTGTGGAAGAAATATTAGGGTTAGAAAGAGTTGGAAAGGACGCAACAGCACACCATAAAAAATTGTTAAGGAAGCATCACAGAATTTTCAGGAAAAAAACAATTGAAAGTGGAGAAGAGGAGGGCTACTGGGCACAACTAGTGTTTAGTCTTGAGAAGCAGGAAGAAAAGGATCACTAAAGAATTAATTCATTGTGAAAATGCCTCCTCTTAGCATATTATATCAAGGTTTGGTGCACATCTGCTCACAACCCAACTATTTTGACACAGATATACATCTGTGTATACACAGGTATACATCTCGGTGAAGTTCAAAGACCCTGTATTAATAAAGAGTGTCTATTTTGTTTTTCTATTCTTGATATAGGGTATTTTTCCAGGTAAACAATTATTTGTTTATAATCTCAGCTAACCTAGCTCATGCAGAAAGCCCCTCAAAAGGAACATGTTTTGTCAGGTACTGTTATAATAGTTGTTGGTTTTATGTATCTAATAGTTGTATATAAATGTATGTGCTCCCCTCTTTACTTTTGCATATCAATTCATAGACTCTTATATTATAGAATGAGGAAGTCTAATGGCATACTGCCTAAGGCATTTGACTGCTGACCAGAAGACTGGCAGTGAAAACCCACTCCTCAGAAGGAAGATTGGGCAATCTACTTCCACAGTGGTAATGCTTCAGAAACACAAGGAGGGGTCCTTATCAGTCAGATCTGATTCCACTGCAGTGAGGTTTTTATTTATTTATTTATTATGGAATGAGTTTTCACATATAATATTTTATTCTGTCAGTTTGTAGTATTGTGGTAGCTTGCATGCTGCTGTGACACTGGAGGCTATGCCACCGGTATTTCAAATACCAGCAGGGTCACCCATGGTGGACAGGTTTTAGTGGAGCTTTCAGACTAAAACAGACTCAGAAAAAGGAAGGAGCCAGCCACTTCTAAAAAACTGGCTAGATTCTTTCCATCTTCTTTTGATGTTTTCTGCATCATTCAATATTTTGCCCATAAAATCTTTCAATATTGCAACTCAAGGCTTAAATTTTTTCCTCAGTTCTTTCAGCTTGAGAAATGCCAAGCATGTTCTTTGCTTGTGGTTTTCTAACTCCAGGTCTTTGAACATTGCATTATAGTAATTGGCTTTGTATGCTCGAGCTGCTCTTTGAAATCTTCTGTTCAGCTCTTTTATCTTGTCATTTCTTCCATTTGCTTTAGCTACTCTTTGCTCAAGGGCATGTTTCAGAGTCTCCTCTGACATCCATTTTGGTATTTTCTTTCTTTCTCATATGTTTAATGACCTCTTGCTTTCTTCATGGATGACGTTCTTGATGTCATCCAACAATTCTCCTGGTTTTTGGTCATTGGTGTTCAATGCATCAAATCTATTCTTTAGAAGACCTCTAAATTCAAGAGGGATATGTTCAACATCATACTTTGGCTCTTATGGACTTGTTTTAATTGTCTTCAACTTCAAGTTGAACTTGCATATGAGCAGTTGATGGTCTGTTCTACAATCAGCACCTGGCCTTGTTTTGACTGAAGATATTGAAATTTTCCATCACCTCTTGCCACAAATGTAGTCAATCTGATTCCTGTGTACTCCACTGGGCAAAGTCCACGTGTATAGCCACCATTTAGGTGGTTGAAAATAGATATTTCTAATGAACAAATCATTGGTCCTGCAAAATTCCATTATAGAACCTCTGGTGTTATTTCTATCACCAAGGCCTTATTTTTCACCTACTGGTGATTCTTTTTTGTTTTCAAATTTTGCATTCTAATAATCAGTCATAATCAATTCCTCTTGGTTGCATATTTGTTCAATTTCAGACTGAAGAAGCTGGCAAATATGTTCAATCTTCTCATCTTTGCCTTTGGTGACTGGTGCGTAAATTTGAACAATAGTAGTAATAAGAGGTCTTTCTTGTAGGCGTATGGATATTATTCTATCACTGACAGCATTGTACTTTAGGACAGATCTTGAAACATCCTTTGTGATGATGAATGCCATGCCATTCCTCTTCAATTTGTCATTCCCAGCATAGTAGATCATATGGTTGTCTGATTCAAAATGCCCAAAACCCGTCCATTTCATCTCACTAATGCTGAGGATATCAATCTTTATGTGCTCCATTTCATTTTTGGCAACTTCCAATTTTCCTAGATTCATAATTCATACATTCCGTATTCCAATGCAAATGGATGTTTGAGCTGTTTCTCCTCAATTCGAGTCATGCGATGTCAGCACATGGAGGTCCTGAAATACTTACTTTATACATATCATTAAGGTTGGTTCTACTCTGATGAGGCAGCTCTTTCCCAGTCCTATTTTGAGTTCCTTCCAACCCAAGGGGCTCATCTTCCTGCACTGTGTTGGACAATGTTTCCAAGCTATTCATAAAGTTGCCCAGCAATGTATTACCCAGTGTTTCCCTGCTATTCATAAGGTTTTCCCTGGCCAATTTTTGAGAAGTGCATGGCCTCCTCCTTCTTCCTAGTCTGTCTTAGTCTGTAAGCTGTGTTGAAACCTGTGCACCCTGTGCAACTCTGCCAGCATCTGAAACAATAGTGGCACAGCCTCAAGCCTCACAGCAACATACAAGCTCCACAGGAACATAGAATGTACAAAATATAAATCTTGGAAAATTGGAAGTTGTGAAATGGAACACATAAAGATGGATATCCTAGGTATTAGTGAACAGAAATGGACTAGTTTTGGCCACATTGGATTATACAGTCATATGATTTTCTATTCCAGGAGCAACATATCGAAGAGGAAAGGTATGGCATTCATTGTCACAAAAAAATATTTCAAAATCTGTCCTGAAGTACAATGCTGTCAGTGATAGGATAATATCCATATGCCTACAAGAAGACCTCTTATTACTACTATTATTCAAATTTACACACCAATCACCAAAGGCAAAGATGAATAGTTTAAAGATATTTGCCAGCTTCTTCAGTCTGATATTGAACAAATATGCAACCAAGAGGAATTGATTATGACTGATGATTGGAATGAAAAGTTGGAAACAAAGAAGAATCACCCGTAGGTGGAAAACTCATATGCCTGTCTTCTGTTTGGCTGGAAACCACAGGTGTGGGTTCAATTCCAGACCTGAAGGGCAGCTAGGGACCATAGTCTCAGTGGTTCCACCAGGCTCTATCAGACCAGCAAACCTGGTCCCCACCCCTTTTTTTTTTCTCAATTATTTTGAGTTTTGTTCCATATTGTTCTCCCTCTCTATCAAGGATCTCCTACATAGATCCCCTTCCAAGTGAATGACAGTGGTAGCCAGGCACCATCTAATTCTTCTGGTCTCATAGTCGAATAGGCTGCAGATAGGATGGTGTACCAGTCGCTAGAACTAATTGTTTCCATTAATTTTGGTTTTCTTCATTCTTCTTTGCTCTGGACA